TTAAGTGATGTCCCCTCAAAATATATGTCAATCCAGGAGCTTAGAATGTGACCTTATTTGTGCTAAGAGTCTTTACAGGTATAATTAAAGCTAAGGATCTTAAGAAGTAATCATGCTGAATTTGGGTGGGTCCTAAATAAAATGAGTGTCCTTATAAAAGACAGAAAAGGAGGGGTCCCTGGGTGGCTCAGTTGGTTAAACATCTGCCTTAGGCTCAGGTCATGATCACTGGGTCCTGGGATCCAGCCCTGCGTTGCCCTCCCTGCTCAGCGGGGAGTCTGTTTGTTCCTTGCCCTTTGCTCGCCCTTCCCTGCTCGTGCTCTCTCTCTCAAATAAATGAATAAAATCCTTAAAAAAAAAGAGAAAGAGAGAGACAGACAGACAGAAAAGGAGAAGACACAAACACGCAGGAGAGAAGTTCATGTGAAAATGAAGGAAGAGAATGGAATGATGCATCTACAAATCAAGGAATGCCAAAGATTGACAGTAGCCATCAGACACGAGAAGAGAGGTGTGGAATAGATTCTCCCTCAGAGCCTCCAGAAGGAACCAACCTTACTGACACTTTGAGAGACTTCTCTCTCTATATAAACAATCTATAGACTTCTGCCCTCCAGAACTGTGAGAGAATGCAGTTCTGTTGTTTTAAGCTACGGAGTTTGTGGTAGTGTATTATGGCAGCCCTAGGAAACTAATACACATCATGAATGATAGATCAGTACTTCTTTTTAAAATTCCTCTGTCCATCTTTCATTGGCCACAAGTACATTTCTTCGGATGTAAATTGAAGTCATGTCACTTGTACCTTAGAAAAGCTTACCAGAATCTCTGTTACAAAATTATTGCTGGGGAGTCTTAACCTCCACCTTTAGAATCAAGGGAATTTCATTGAATCAGACAAGGTTCAGTGGAAAACAGAAACTGTTAGATGTTTTAAGCAGGAAGAGATCTATACAGGGAATTAGATGCTCATAAAATTGTTAGGAGGGTTAAGGCAGCAGGTTCTAGTCTGAACCTCCTTGAATAATTCCTAGTATAATTCAACAACAATCTGCTGGGGGAGCTAATACTCTGAGGCAACCTCTTGGGTTATGATTGAAGCAAAAGCTTCAACCCTCTAACACTTGCCTCTTAATATCAGGGAAGCTGGAGAATGGAGACCCATACCTCTGATTCAAAGAACTCACATCAAATAGCTTCTTAGTAGCCATAGCCAAAACCTTTGGCCTATTCTTACCTTTTTAATCAACTATGAATACATTCAATTGGCAAAACCAAATTCTAGCTTCAAGAAATTATATAAAATGCCTATCTCAGATTCCAAGCCTCTCTACAGTTAGAAGGGCCCTGCGTTTGGTTCAATGCTCTGCTGTTGCCATCTTGAAATTCTTAATGATGATTTAACGAGGAGCTCATATTTTCATTTTGCACTGAGCCCCCCAAATGATGTCGCTGGTTCTGTCAACCCTGTATAGAGCTCTGACATTTTACTCGGTTCTAATACTGCAAGGACATTTGTTGCTGTTTTGCTTTTGTTGCTTGCCTCTTTACATCCCGATTCCAGGATTCTGTTGTTCTGTTGACTCTTGGCTGGATCACAGTGTGTTGCATCTTTCCAGATTCCTTGATTTGGAGCTCTGCCAGCACCCACTTGTTACCTTTTGCTGGAATTCCACAATACTCCTGATATCCAAAGACTCCTACCCTTTACCTACAGCCATACTCTCCCGATGCTAAATTTTCCTGCCCATTCGGGCTTTCTTTTCTCTCTCATAGTCAGTTTTACTTTAAATTAATCCTGGTATATAGACAGAAATCTGGCCCACTGACTCACTAGCATGGCCTTTCCAACACCAACGAAGCAAGACTGTCATGCACTGAAGCTAGCCTTTGCACACAGCTTTCCTTACATTTATTTTATATCTTCAGTAAGGATGCTGTGTGTGTTACAACTGTGTAACAGGAGGCAGCTTGTAATTTGGTATAAAGTATAGCAATTAGGGAACATGGAGACCTTGGTTCATGTCCCAGTTCCAGTTAACTACTCATGAGACCTCTGGATATTTCTTTCTCCCTGTTTCTGAACCTTTAAATCGGAGGGGCTGTACTAAATGGCCTGTAAATCCCTTTCCAAGTCAGATTATTTTTTATAAATATGCTAACAAGCATAGCTAGCCCCATAGATTTTGTTATAAGAAAAAAATACTATTTTTTTATACCATCTCTCTGATGGTATACTGTAGATGCAGGGCAGTGATTACTAATAGTCAAATGTAGCATGCTGTTTCCATGCTGTAGGCAATCAAGCTAAATAAAAAAATAATATTTTTACTAAAATAAATACTGTGTTTGTTTTGCATGACAGGAAACTAGTGCTAGCTTCTCAATATTCATGCAAGCAAATTGGTATTAACACCTGATCCTGTGCTTAGGTTTGACTTACCAATTTCTGCAAAAAAAAAAAAAAAAAAAAAAAGAGAGAGAGAGATTCAAGGTAAGGGCAAAAATGATTAAATAAAAGGGGGAAAAAGATAGTAGCATGAGAGGGTTGAGGATGAGATTAACAAAATTATTTTTTTAGACGGTTTACCCCATTCCACCGCCTCCTGTGGGTGTCAAGCAGTATCATAAAAGGTGTTGCTATGACAACACTAATTAATTATAATGGGACTTCATGCACAGTAGCTTAGACCTAGTTCATGATGCTCTTTTTTTAAAAAAATTATTTATTTGACAGAGAGAGAGAAAACAAGCAGGGGGAGTGGCAAGTAGAAGGAGAGGGAGAAGCAGGCCTCTGCTGAGCAAGGATCCTGATGCGGGGCTCGATCCTAGGACCCTGGGATCATGACCACCAACTGAGCCACCCAGGTGCCCCTCATGATGCTCTTATTATGTGTCACACAAAATGTGGCAAAAATGCTTATGTTGAAATGTGTTGAGATATGGGGTGATGTGCAAGGCAGTTCTTCATGACTGTTTTAACCTGTGCTTGGAGTGTTGTGTGCATAATCTTGTGGTTTTTTTTGTAAACATATGGCATGGCCATGGGAGCTAATGAAGCTTGGAGTGCACATGTACAATAGGCATTCTTTGAAGTCAAAGCAAATTGTGATAATGGACAGATTTGTGGAACTCAGGTTATCACTAGTACTGATTTAGAGGGCTGAAAAAATCATGGCTGTCACTGCACTTATGGAAATTAGTCCTAGGGATTCTAAAATGGCTACAGCAACCATCTGATAGAGAGATGAAATCCAATGTAAGCAGTAAAGAATCTTTGATGTATATGTACTAGGAAGATGTCCAAAACAATAAATAAAATTAGAGTACCCAGATGTCTGAATATTACCTGTGGATGTGCAAAATGTCATTGCTTTAGTTACTGAATTCATAGTTTCTTTTTCCTCTCCCCAAATGCCATGTTTTCCATAGTTTTGTTTCATTTTTTAAATATATTTTTTATTTTTTTTACAGTAATTGTTACTACAAAACACCACTGTACTAAAATCCAACTAATTTTCTTGGATTTCCAAGTTCCAATCCAACTAATTTCTTGTAACAATAACAATTATATTATTATGAGATATCCCACACTATTCCAAATTCTAAAGAAAGGTTAAAAAGAACTGCTAGCTTAAGATAATTATTAATTTGTTTCGGAGAGATGTCTGAGGTGGAGACAGCTGCCGCGGCAGATCACTAAGCAATCTACTAGGTGAGGAGAAATTTGAACTCTCAGCACTGATAGAAACAACAAGAACAACGACAACAGCCCGTCTTGTAGTGTGGATTAAAGAAAAGCAGACATTTGGAAGGCAGGTGGATGCTTCCCATTTAGCAATGTCGAACCTGATTCTTATGTCCCTGCATTCGGCTGCCAGGTGTGTAGGGGGCCGCCGGCGATGGTTATTCCCCTGCAGACAAACAGCAGCTGGAGCACCACCTGTGTCAGGAGATGAGCCTGAGAGACGAGAGAATTACATTGACCTCCGGCTAGTTTTGTCTTTCTCTAATTTCTGCACCACTGTCAGATTTGAAAAAGAAAATCACCACCTTGTGATATTGTCTCATTAGACCCCTCAGTGCTCTCTGTAGGGCACTGGGTAACAATCATAAAGCATATAAATGCAGAACACATCACTACAAAGGACATGAGCTCTTGGGTCCTTTTAATCTAAATCAGATGGATAAAGGGTAGACTCAGGAAGAAATGTGATAACAAGGAGTAAATCCACTAAGTTTCTAATGGTGGAGTTCATCATCATTTAACCTTAGGGAATCTACAGTTATTAGTCAAGAGTTCCCGGTAGAGGTCTGTTAGAAGCCAAAAAAGGAAGGACTGCAAGTAATTTGTTTTCTTGATGTGAAATAGAAGGTTGCTGCAGGACTATGAGGAATTCTAAAAGGATGTTCAGAAAATAATGTATATACATATTTAGGAAAGGGTAAAAATAATGCTAACCTGCTCAGAAGAAAAGAAGTAAAGGAGAGGGTGTAATGAGGAAGTAATAGATGTTTTTCAAGATCAGCTAATAGACTAATAAGATAAAGGAAAATGAAATAAAAATAAAAAGGATTATCTTTCGCTATGAGCATAATAATGCAGTCACTGTTACAGTCCCACTGGTTTTATTCGGGGCTTTGGATAGAACAAGAAGATGTATACTTCAGTAGGGTTCCTACAGCTGCAATGTTTCTTTTAGTAATAGTTTTAGAAAAATCTATAATCGATAGATTTAAAAAAAAATATGTCATGCCTATATTTAAAAAAAAAAAGACTTTTAAAGGACTTATGAAAGGATTGTGTTTCAGAATGGCATGTTTAAACTTACTGCATTGGTATGTGTCAGTGACTTTTATCAATTAACCAGAAATCTGGGTCTATCAGCAGAATTCATCCATCCATCTTTGCTGTGAAACTGGAAACAGATTTGTTTAAATTATTGGTCTTTTAATTTGCCTCATTTTGTCTCCTGTCTGAGAAGCCTGTTTATTTTCAGGCAGCTGCATATGTTGGCATGATTGATGAGATCTGCTACAGTCAAGCAAGCAGCCCCGGGTGACCAGTTTACCCTTCCCCGCTAGGGTTCCAGCTGCCAGTTGCCCCCATTCTGTGACAGCTTCTCCTTCTTCTCACCTTGTCATCAAGCCAAGATTGTACACTGTAGGAGAACAGGTAAGCATCTGCCTCCGTAATCATTGCCAACAGCTCTCCATTATCAACTGCCAGGGGTGCTACAAAGCAATGTGGAGTTCTTTCTCTTGACACGGAGACCGAGTGTTTTTATACCTGAAACAAACTTTGTCTTTCCTGACTGGGGAACCTCATATGTAAAGTCTGTTTTTTAAAAAACTTGCATCACACCTCACTATAATATTATACAACAGGTCAGATCATTCCCACCTCCTGCAGGTATTCTAGATTAGACTATGCAAAGATCTGTCATTTAAAGACAGGATTTTTTTTTTTTTTTTGGCGATTATTATATTCCTATATAGCAGAAAAATTAAAGAGCTCTGTCAAACATTTTCACTCCAACATGGTGTAAATTAAATCTACCTATAAAGGTGAATTATCTTGCAACATCTGTCCTTCTGTCATAGAGCAACATGTGTGGATCAAAATCAAATTAGAGAGCATGTTCACATATAGCAACATTAAAGTGAATTCTACTGTTTTGGTTTTTAACTGCATGATCCTGAATGTTTTAAATGATCTGTTGTTGTGATTTAATATTTATAGAGTCGATGGTAATCTAGGAACTTCAGGGACTATCAATAAAATATAACTTTTGCTTTTATTTATTTATTTTTTTTTTTTAAAGATTTTTATTTATTTATTCATGAGAGACAGAGAGAGAGAGGCAGAGGGAGAAGCAGGCTCCCAAGAAGCAGAGAGCCCGATGCGGGACTCGATCCCAGGACCCTGGGATCATGACCTGAGCCGAAGGCAGACGCTTAACCATCTGAGCCACCCAGGCGCCCTAACTTTTGCTTTTAAAAGGAACTAAATTTCTATAGTAATCTGTTATTAATTGTATTTATGCATGTGACTGTTGGTGTGAGAGAATATGGTACATAATTTTGACATAAATATGTGTTTTTCAGAATAACAATAATTTGCTTCAAAGTGGTTAAAAAGCAAATGTTATATAGTGGTTATTAAGATCAAAGACTTTCAGAGACATAATTTGGTTCAGATCCTGGGTTGGTACATACCAGCTCTAAGATCTTGGACAAGTTATTTAACTTCACAGAACATAAGTTTCCTTATCTCCAAATGGGGATAGTGAAACTTACCTTTTGTGGTTTGTTCTGAGAACTGAATATGTAAATATATGTAAAGCTCTTAGTGCAATGCTTGACACATAGCTATTATTATTTCTAAAGCAGTGAATAAAGAACACAGGGTTGTTTACTAATAGGTTCTGAGATAGCCATGATCCACACTCTAAGAACCTTGTATCAGTTGAAATTCATTAATATACTTGTACATAAAAGATATAGCATATTAGTATAGTGGGGGAGTAGAACAGTTTTTTTTTTTTTTTTTTCCTGTGAATTCTTGTCCCAGTGGAGAGATACTTAATTGAATTTAGCAAGTCAGAGAAAGTAATCTGATTTGTTTCCTCTATAAAGGCAGGGGATTTGAGGTTTATTAGGGTTTTTCTTTATGTGTGACTCACTGTGGTGAACTTGATACACTGCTGGCCTCTTTAACTTCTTGGTGTCTTCTTGAACAAATTAATACATTTAATTCTCACTTTCTTGATAAATAACATAGTAATGAGCATCAATGAAATAATTTATAGAAAACACTTGGCATAGAGCTTGTTTTATTACCTGTTTGCAATTAATACTATTATTGTTATTATCTTTGTTATTTTTCTTATATTTAAGTTTTTTTTTTTTTTAAGATTTTATTTATTTATTTGAGACAGAGAGAATGAGAGAGACAGAGAGCACATAGGAGGGGGGAGGGTCAGAGGGAGAAGCAGACTCCCCGCCAAGCAGGGAGCCCGATGCGGGACTCGATCCAGGGACTCCAGGATCATGACCTGAGCCGAAGGCAGTCGTTTAACCAACTGAGCCACCCAGGCGCCCCTTATATTTAAGTTTAACTGAAATTAGAAAATTGCCCTCCAATGGTTAGATTAATAAGGAAAATTACATCCTAAGTCAATTTGGATTAAGAATTTTATTGGTTCCCAAATAATAAATCAGAGCTTGAGTTAAAGAACCTTTATACAGTCTGGCTCTTGTTTCCCTTACCCATAAATCCCAGAAGATAGAAAGACGACTGTATTTGTATAGGTGTTAAAAAAATCCTCACAATGGACCACAGTTTTCCCTCATTTATCCACATGTAGCTCTCACAGAAATAGCCATTGGGATAAGCATGTGACCATAGCTAACAGCAAAAGCTCTAAGAAAACCATCCTTTTTCTTTCTTTTTTTTCTTTTCACCATTCTCATGACTGACTACTAATCACATTGGTTTATAAGTAGTCCATCAACAAATAATAAAAAATAGTATTTATTTTAATCCTATTTTAACTCCTTGTGAGACTCCGATGTTGGTAGAGTAATTACAGAGTGACAGACACAAAAGGAACATGGATGGATACAAAACAGCTAGGTTACTTTGCATTATAACCTCAAGGTGGGGAAGTAGTACCCATAGCAGGGAATGGGTGAATATCTATCAGCATAAGAAGTGGGTGCACACATGAATGGGAAGGCAGAAGAAAAAATTTGTGGGAAATTTTTATCATACTAGGTAAGCACCGAAGCAGTGCATATACCAGGGGTTCTTATGTTAATACAGAAGAATATGGATAATAATTTTTGGTGAGTAAAATGGCTGAGAAGGAGTAGAACATTTGATCTAATAAAGTGTGAAAATGGCAGATGGAATGAAAGGATGAATTGGAAAGTTTTTACCTTTTATTTTCAATTGGCTTAAAAGAAAACTACTCATTATTTATCTAATTTTCTCCTAACTTTGGCAAGCCCCATTACCTAGAAAACATGTATCTGCTTTCCCTTACACATGGAATATATATCTATTTTCCCTTGGACTGTGAGATGGAGATTACCATCATATAATATGTAACACGGTAGTGTGATGATTAGTGTCCATTGCCCTGAATGAGGAAAATAATTCATGAAAATAGCTGTTGTCATAAAGGAAGTAATATATGTTGGTCAACAATGAAACAACAAATGAAAATTTAATTCTTAAATCATTCAGTGGTTTGGGGTCATTTAATTTTTTGTGTTCCTCAGTTTCCACAAAAAGTAAATAGTATTAGGTGTACTATCCATCTTCACACCTTATTATGGGCATTAATTTTAATGAGAGCTTTTATTAAATGCAGTTAAATGCCATCAATCTCTATTAAAATATATTTTATTATATTAAATTATCTCAAAATGGAATTTTTATTTTAGGCATGAAATGACCATTGTGCCTATAATGTTTTGTTGAGAAAGATAGTTTGTATCTCAGTAGGGTTCAAGGATGGAGAATGTATTGATAAATTGTGTTTCACCAGCAGTAAGAGGTAGAGTAAAATATTGACTGTTTCTGAACCAAATAACCAACTTGTTTTCCTGACACAATCTTAATCAAGCCTTTACATCTGCAGTAATTGTTGGCAATTTCTCCCTTTTCAAAAAATTAATCCTACTTTGTGGCAGTTATCAATTTGCTGCCTTTCATCTCATTTCCTGCTTTATTAAACTGGAGCTTAACCCCTGAACAAGTTGGACTTAGAAGAAACTGTAAAAACTCAAAGCCTCCCTGTGCCATTTAAGTAGCCTGACCACCTGTGCCTGAGGAAATGAGCCTTCCTTTTCTTAAAAACTTTGATAATCTCCCAGGGGGCAGACACTTGAAAGGAGGGCACTGATTCTTCTTGCTACTTGACCCAGGAATAAAGTCAGATCTCAACATGAAAGTAAAGAAATGGCTCCAGGAAGACAATCCTGTAAACCTCTTCAGAGTGATACATTATCTCTAGCTTCCAAAGCCTTTGTTAGTCAAACATCCTCTTTACTTAGAAAGCCTGGATTATGTAAAAGCATGAAAATATTCACAGAGAATATCTTTCAACAATTTACTATGAAGAACAGCAAGGACATATTTGGCCCATAGGGATTTCTGGTAGCACCTCATCGATCTTGACCTCCCAAGAAATCAAATAGATGGAGAGCATACTAGAATATTGCATGACTTATATAAAAGAGAGAAAAAAAAAAAAAACACCTTCTAGATCTGGTGACCAAAAATCTGACTTGAATCAGTACGAGGAAAAATCATGGCCTTGAACCCAGTTTCTAGACTAAAGCAAGGTCACCAACACCTTGATTGAAGGGGAGGCTGATCTTGCCTGAGACATGAGATAACCATGCAGCCTGAGTTTTCCGTGTCTGATCCATTTATTCTAAAGTTGGACGTGTGCAGCAGTTATCATCAAGTAGAAATAATAAAATGGGTTGGGGAAGGCCAGAAGATACAAATAATTTGCATAAGCAAATGTCTCAGTCTTTTTTTGAAAATGATTTCTTCTTCATTGCCTCCTTTCCACAATTATTGCCTCATACAACCAGTTGACTAGAAATAAAACACCGGAGCCTGGTTTACATCTGGATCTGTAAGATATGCTGGTCCTACCTGAGAGTGCAGTACCTGAAAGTACAGTTGCAGCATTGCATCCCCATCTCCCACTCAAAGTGACCGCAAATATCGAGTACTTACTCTTCTTAATCCAGGGTAGCCCACATTAAGTATCTGGAATTCACTCTACACTGGCACCGTCTAATATCAATGCTTTCTAAAATGGTAGCTGCTAACCACGTAGGACTGCTGAACACTTGAAATGTGGCTAATGCTACTGAGGAACTGAACTTTTACATTTTCTTAATGTTAATGAATATAAATTTAAGTATGTATAGCCACGTGTGGCTAGAGGACATGTTTTTGGACGGCGTAGTGCGAGACAAATTTTGTTTTATTTGCTAGACACATAGATTAGATATTAATATCTGTTATCTCTTTAATATCTTCCAAATCAGCCCTCTCCTTCTTATACTGATGGTGACCCCCTTTCATTAATTTTTTTCACCTGTATTGTTGTACCATCTTCCTATATGATCCTGTCATTGCACCCC